GGAAAGGCTTCAAGTTATGATAATGAATACTGACAGATCAAAGGCCAGAAAACATACACTGTGCCCTAGACATCTCAAAATATTTTTCTAACAATCTGCATTTGTAGCACCAAATAATAAAGGAATTTCACACTGTCATTCATCTCCCTTACACGAAAACATAACTGGCATAACTTCTATCATGAAATGTCACATACTCTTGGTTCACACAATCACCACAGAATAGGAATAGGTAGACAGTAAACACTGGGGGGATCAGAAGAAGAATGGGTATCAAGAAACAACTGTAATGAAATTTCTGATTAACCCAAACCCAAAATTCAATCCAGTCTTTACAAAATTATAGAAACTTCCTCTCCAAAACAAGAAATATATTTAGAAATTTGTTTAATTTTTCTCAGCTATTTGCAAGCACACAGAAATTTCATGCCTGAGTGTATTCCTTTTGAAATAAAGATTTCCAGGCCTCACCTGCCAAAAATTCTTTTGTAAGTCTGGAATGGAGCCTGGGAATTGGTATGTTTACTCAAAAAGTTCCCCAGGGACTCTGATCGACAGCCAGGTTTGTCAGAAGTACTATATACCTTTACAAGAAGGGCTCCTTCCAACCCTGACATTCCAGCAGTCTATAAAATTATTAAAGTTCTCCCTATAAATATGCCAAATCAAACAGCATGACACCTCACCTATTCCTTTTGTGTTCTTCCTCAATCCTAGAGTTACTGCCTTATTTTCAATTCATTCCTTCTAACAGCAGTCTTCCTTTTTCATCTCCACCCTTGTAGTAACCAAGTAATAAGCAGAAAGACATAAAACAAAGGGAAACTATCACTTCAATACCCGGAAATCCTGTCAGTTCTAACAAGAGAGTAGAAACCCCATTCTAGATTATTCTAATATGTACTAAATTAAAAAAAAAAAAAAAAAACACTTTCAAGGGGGAGTCTGTGAGGCAGAGCTGAAAGGTAAGTTAGGTAAGATTTCTTGGATCTGGAAAAGATGGACTAAGATTCTAAAAGGAAGAGAAGGGAAAACTTTAAAGCAAGGCAGGTGACAGAGTGGGGCGAGCGGACTGGTGGAGGCACCTCGGTGGGTTTTGACACTCGACACCCAGCCTTCACTCAGGTTGCTAGGAAACAAAAAGGCTCCACGTTCCTATCGGTTCCTCTCTGGCCTGGAAGAGAAGACAGGGGCCTTCGGGACCTGAAGACGCCACAGAAAAGTGCCTGGGTACTGCCCTGGGGGCGCGAAAATGAGGGATATCTGAGGACCGGAAGCTCGGGCTGAGGGGACCCGGAGCAGGGAGGAGAGAGGGCCGCGGTTCTGATGGAGAGGGAACGGGCCCTCTGCGAAGAGCGGCGCTCGGGCAGGCCGCGGCGGGCTCCGCTCCCGCCAAGCCGAGGCCGAGGGTCCTCAGCCGGATGCGGGGCCTAAACGACCACCCAGCCTCCGCGCTGGAGAGGGGGCGTCTACTCACACGTGCTGACAGGCCGAGGTCCGCACGGGCGTTTTGAGCACCTCCTGACAGACGGGGCAGTAGAAATCATCTTCGGTGTAGGAAGTGGCCGCGGAGAGGTCCTCGGCCATGGCGGGGTGGGGAATCAACGCGGCGGCAGCCGCCGAGGTGGATCTGGCGGTGGCGACCCGGGGCCCGACTCCCTGCGCGTACCCAGAGAGGGAGGGGAATCGCGTCAGGAAGCGGCTCACGCCAGGAAGGAGGCGGGGCCAGGGCGGGGCGGGGCCGAACGCGGAGACGCTACGGCCGCACGCGCGAGATCGGGGCGGCCCCCAGAGCTGCTCCTCCCGCTGGGCGGGACCGGCAGGCAGTGCCTGGAGGGAGTCCGCGTAGAGAAACCCAGCAGTTGGGTTCAGTTTCACCTCTACTCCAGCTCGAAGCACGCACGGCGCCGCCCCTCCTGCTGGGAATGGCGCCAGTAGCCAGCTCAAGGCCGCGGTCTCCCGTCTGAGGCAACTCCCGTACCCCACTCCCAAACGCGGGCCCGGCTTCGCCGCTATCCCTTTACTTCGCCTCTGGGCTTTCTCGGCTTTTCGGCTCCTTTTCCCCACTTCCACCCCGAGCTCCGCCGCCTGCGAAGTAGTCTGGCTCCTTGCCTCAACCCAGCTTTTCTCGCGGGTCCTGCCCCGCCCAGTCGCACCCCGCCCAGCCCCGGCGCTTGCGTAGACGCTCACTTGGGAGCCCCAGAGTGGCGCGGCTGTTAGAACTGTTTCCCCACGCGTGTTGATAGAAACCTGACCCTGTGCAGGCCTCGTGCTAGTCGGGCCGCCACTGACTTCGCAGCTGAGACCGGGAGGGGAGTGGTGGGCGGAGTGCTGCCGGGCTCATCAGCCTCAAATGGTGCCGGGCCCGGGGCTCACGGTGCACCGGGATCCCACCGCTCCCTCCAGCAGCTCTCCCGTGTCATTGCGCTGTCTGTAGCCTGTCTGGGAGGTCACCGAACTCCCTAGACGGCAGCGAGCACCCGGCGGA